GCACATGAGACAGCTGAAGCAACATTTATATCCGTTTTCTGAAACTTGTCTTTTTTTTCCAAGGAATAGGTCACTAGCATGAAGCCAGAGGCTAGAAGCAGTTAGAAGGACTTGAAGGTTGATGTTCGACATATTTGGCTGCATTATCAGAGTGATTTCCACGGTCATTAAATCCTGTACTGAGATTCAAAGCTGAAGTTTCTGCATTATTAACATGATTGCTACTCACTGGAGCTCAGGGCATCCTTCAATTTTGCCCCACTCAAAATAATTGGAAAGAAATTATGTGAACTATTTGAAGACAAAGACTTCTAAACTAGATGACTATACCAGTCTAGTCCATAAAATATATTGTGCATTTAGCCACTTCCACCTTTCCAATCCTGGGGTCTAGATAGGTACAAACATAAGTCACATTACACGTGACTTAATTGATCTGTATTTTTTAGAAATATTAAAGAACTTCTAGATATTTATGAACGATACAAATTGTTTTCAGAAAAAAGACCTGAATTTTAATCTACAACATTTATTGCAATAATCCATACAAAGCAAACCCTGTTGCTATCATAAATTCTAGAACTTATATATTCAAAAATCATGGATCGCTGTTAAATTTTTAGCAAATAATGTGGTTACTTTATGAAGAATCTGGAAGATAACTGCATTGCATTGCGATAAGAAAGCAATCATGCCTTCTACAAGAAAAAAAATTAAACTCAATTCACCTGTGGAACAGAGATCATTACATTGATAGACAAGAGCACAACTTTCGAAACGTCATTTGCATTACCCTTGTGTTACTCTCACCGATCCAGAAAACCATCCCAATAAGTAGTGCATAACAAGATGGCAAGACTGGAATTTATGTTTTGTATTTCCAAACTGTTAATAAGGCAGCTAGAACTAATTGGATAGAAAGAGCTGCCAGATTTCTTTATAAAAGGTGGGCAAAGGTTACCACAAGGAATTCATTAACACATTTAGAATGCATGATTTCCTAACCAATTAAACTTTGCTGTCTGGGCTGTCAGGTTTCTATCACCCTGTAATCATCTCCAAGTCCATTGTAGGAGTAGAATCTTAAGCAATTTTCATTAACAGGGTTTGTGAGGATAGCTAATAGTAATGACTGAACAAAAAGTGACAAGTTCCAAAGATTATGTGATTTGTCTAAAAACACTGAAAATAACATGAGATTCTGTACAGTTTGCGACATATATATGATTTTATACCGGAGCAATTTCTTAAACCTTTCTCAACTCTATAATGTTTTTCTTTCTTACTAAATTAATACAGTTTTACATGACTTCACTATATTCATAATGAACAAATTGCTGAAGTTGGTTTTAGTGAATTCCTTCATAATTCTCAAAATGTAATTAGATCCTGAAGTCTTTTTTCTTCTTTACCCAAGAAAATAAACAACAATTTGCATTTATAGAAGAATAAGGGAACTGGAGGTCACAACTTTCTCAGCCTTTCCTTTACAACTTAAACACCCAAAAGGGATCACCTTTGTTATTAATCTTTGAATTCATTCAAGGCCAATAATACCTTAATTTTGGCTGGGGCCAGATTTAAATGCAGAATTCTCAAGAAGATTGGAGAGTTTAAATATCTAAACCACACAACATTATTCTGCATTATTCCCTCTTTATCCTATTTCTATGAAGGTTACAATGCCTACTTATTAATCTAATTTTACCCAAACCCAATTACACTACCTGCTTTGATCATAATTCCCCCTTACAGCCACTAAACAAGAAGATTACACAGAGAGCATAGGCAGCTGTAAACAGTACACTATCCCCTATAAATGGACAGGTTCTATGAATATTCTCCCTAATCTAAGGTTCCATTTCTTGGGTGCCTCTACATTGATAGCATTATATTGTATTCCGCATTCATTGAAGGAGATATGAAGAAACAGGATTAGGAATCAGAAAAAGACAGTAGTTACTTTGTAAAAAATGTCATGTTCAATGAATGCTGAATGGAATAGAATTTAGTTTCATCCTATCCTATCATGACAGATCAATTGATCAAATGCTTTAAATGTAGAGGGTCGGTTCAGTTACCGACATCAACGTATTAACGTTCACTCTTAATGAAATTCTTTAATCTGAATTGTAACCTATTCAACTTTTGAGACTCATGAGTTTAGTTCCATTCATTCTAATACAGGCAATAATTTTAAAAGTCATAATCTAAAATGTCTACATTGTATAAAACTGAACTGCTTATTCTACCTTATAGGTTTATTGTTAAACTTAATTCAAAGACACGGTTTTTAAAAAATTCTGCCATATTAGAATAAAAAGTCTTTTAAACACAATACCATCTGTCTCTTGTACAATAGCGACTGTCATGCATTTAAACCTTTTTATAAATTTTTCACTTCTATTCTGAACCTCATTCAGAATACTTTGCGCCAAGCCTTTAAAAGTTCTGCTCATCA